TTCTTAAGAATTTTTATGTATGTATCTTTATCCTTAAGCACTGTTTTAACTCTTTTAATGTACATGTTTATGTCTAGTGCAACAGTTAAGTTACCTTTGTCCGCTTTAGTAAAAATAATGTTATTATTATGCTTTAAAAATTGCTCGGTTTACCGTGTTGTTTTTTTATATTTTTTGACAACAAAATTCTTTTTTTATTTGAGAAAAAAAAGTTATTAATTATTACAATAAAACTATTTCTTAGTTATATAACGACGTCTGTAATTTTTTTATATTAAATTCAATTTTTTAATGAAAATATTAATTTGCAAAAATTAATTTGCTATTGTAATTACTGGGAAGAGAAAAGTTTTCCTAATTGCAAAAAGCATTAAACACAATTTGGAATGGAAACCAATGACAAGTGAACTATTTTTCCTTTAAACATACTAATGAACATTTAGTGATCTTAAATTCATTCGGAGACACAGTAATATCAACCAAGTTATCCGATGTATCCAAGTATCAACCAAGAGTTACTCCGAAGGGGTAACTCTTTTATTAAGAAACAATTGGTTACTGTTACTGTATTATTTAATGATGATGGTTTCAACCAAAAGTACTCAATGCCCCTTATCTCTCCCATTCTTCTCTTTCTTTCAAATTTAGCCAAGCAATCTTCTTGTTGATCTTTTTTCTCTCAAGTAAGAATTCGTTATATTTCTTTTTGTTCTAAGATTGAAACAAATTTATTTAATATATTAACAAGAATTCCTCTTGAAGCAAAAAAAAAGAAAAATGAATTTTTCAAAGCTATTCGCTTAGTGTTGGATTCGATTTATTTTGTTTTTGACAATCAATTTTGTAAAAACAAAGTTTTGGAACGCCTGAGGTTACCTTTCTTCGATTGTAGCTAATTTAGTTATAATGGATTTGGAGAATTGGGTATTGAGCAATATTCAATATCATATACCATTTTATTACAAATATATCGTTCTTACCGAGTTCTAAAATCGATTCTATTCTTGAAAAATTCTATTTATTCTATCCAAGATTACAATTTACTTTGGAATTGGATAGTAATTTTATCAATTTTTTGGACACAATCATAATGTTAAAAAATAATTTATTAATATTTGACTGGTATCAAAAACTAACGTTTTCAGGAAAATTTTTAAATTTTTTGTCTCAGCATCCAATCTCGCAAAAAAAGGGCATAATTTTCAATTTGGTAGATAACATTTTTTATATCTCGCATTTACAATTTTACAAAAAGAATCTTGAATTTGTTATAAGGATACTTTTGGAAAACGATTATTCATTGGATTTTATATTTGATATTATTAATGCAAGAGTTAAAACATTAATAAGTAAATTTAATTCTTGTTCAATTCTTTGTTAAAAGATCAAATAACAACTTACCTAAAATACGGGTGAAATGGTTTTCCATACCGTATGTAGAAGAGATATCGAACAAATTCAAGAATATAATTAATTTGCCATAGGGTTTCTTTTTTCAGTTTGAACAATTGAATCCTTTATTTTACGGAAAGGAAGGAAATAAAGGACTTTGATTGGTACATTTTCTTATGCATTACGTGTTATGCATTATGCATAAGAAAATAAATCAATTAAAGTTCTCCGTTTCTTTTCTTTCCATGAAATAAAGAACTCTGATTGGTTGAATTTCTTATGCTTTATGTGTTATGCGTTATACAAGAGTCTGTGCTCCCCGCTTAAGCATGCAGGCAAAGAATAAAAAACGTTTTCGTGCAAGATAAAAATGGCGTCCCATATTGTTTGCATGGAAGTATTAGATTCGTGTGATGAAAATAAATGCAATTCCATAAAAAAAATTCTTAATTAAAGATAATGATGACACAAAATGTTTTTCGTATGTAGGCTTGCTATTATTTATATTTATTTATCATTTTACTCATAAATTCTTGGATAATTATTTAGAAGATTCTCACTTTCAATTTTAATAAAATTATACTCATTTGTCGCATTTTTGCATAAAACGAAAGAATCTGGCAGTAAAATGTTATGTCTAAGCCCGCAAATCGAGATATTAAGTGTTAAAGTTGGCGATGTTGTAGTTAGGAAATCTTTTACTGACTTAATGCAGCGCTATGTACACGTATTTTAGTCTGTATTTATTTAGAATCGTTACTTCACCTTCGATTTTAATGAAATTAGGCTTCGATGCATTTTTATTCAAAACGAAAGCCTGCTCTGTTCTTGCTACGTGCGAAAAATTGTAAACGATGAAAG